AGTCATGGTGTCGACCGGAATATATATTTTATGCGTTCATATAAGGCCTTCAAGGCCCCCATCAAAGAAAATTCATTAACCAAACTATAAAGCCTAGGGAACCGATCCTCTGTCGAGTAGTAGACAAAGTCAACAAGGTCCAGTCAATGAAATTCTCAAATGACCCCAACACCCCGATGATGGCCGTGTTGAATGCAAATCTCAAGCGGAGGGGCTAATTCCAATTATTCAAATGCCTTCCAAGCTCCACCCAAATACCCCAAAAATCCAAAAATAAAAAAAAATCCAAATATTTAAAATTGAAAAGATCCATCAAATCATTTAAAGCAACATCCATCCACCCTCCGCAAACAGTTTGCCGAGATAGGCAAATTGAAATTTATTTCTGCTCACATAGAGCTAATTTCTAGTCGAAAATATCAATATGATTTATTCTCAAATAATTTTTTGCTAGTAAGGACATGGTACGTGCCATCTAACCGGTGGTTTTATCGCCAAATGAAATCGCAGGATAAACGATTATGACACGGGGCTCTCTAAACCGAGTAGTTTTGCCGTTAAATGGCATCACGATATAACGAATATGACCAGAGCCAATACACTTCTTATTGACGTTAAATCCTTGAGATATGAATTAGTAGGATATAATCAATAGTACACAAAACCCTATGTTAGCTAAGGTGAATTCAAATTTGTCCACTTGGGCAAATACCCACCCAATGTCTATAAGGCTCCCTTGAACGAAGCAACCTATGGCTGCCGACAAGGATCCTTCTATCAGGTTGGGTCGACTACCTTCTCTGATTAAGTAGACCATGGACCATGATGGCGCGGGACGACGGAACCATGAGATCTTGATCGGGTCCATCCATTCCCCCATCATCCGCTTTAAGTGCAAGTTGGTGAAATTCCAATTTTAAATATCCATCCTTCAAATTTCCTATCCAGAATACTTATGCTGCTACTATATGCATGATACTACGTATCTACTAATATAACTGATGTGATACAATCCCATGCGAGTTGCTTAAAGAAGTTTGCACGTTTAGGTTTAGAGGCAATAATGCGGAGTTGAACGATAAGTTAAATATTAAAGTGGTACATAGCGTAGGTTATCTTACATGCATAGAAGTTAAGTTCAAAGGATAGCCAACTTAATCCAACATTGCATACATGGGTAGTTCCAACAATAGATTCCAATACTAACAATAAGATTAGTTTATGAAAGATCCCTCACACAACTCTTCTAATTACTAGGCTTTAGCGGAATGCATTAATATGATCTTCATAAAGATAATAAATTCACATTCAAGGATGTAACTATGAAGATAGCAAATCGGATGTTGAGTTTACCCAAAGACAAGAGAGATACACACTCCTGCAGGATGATTTGAGTGTTGGGGACGACTAGGACAGCCACCATGAGCTTCCTCGCACCACCTATTAGCCACGACAAGGTGTGGATCTTCAAGACAGCAGCAGTTTCTGTTTTGGACAGATTCTGGACATCATTTGGAACCTTCCGGATGAAGCTATGGTGCTAGGAGATCTGTAGAATCAGTGGACAGCAAGTTGTAGAAGAGCGTCCAGCAGTTGGAAGGTTTTAAGAGGCAGGAATTTAAGTTTCCCTCGCTGGAATTCTTCCGGATATCATTGGACAGCAACCAGGATTTGTGGGCAGCAATTTCGTCTTCCCAAAATAGCAATAATGGGTCTTCCACGGGTTGAGGGAGCAAGACAATCGGCTGAATTTCAGGCTGCAGTGTTAGGAAGAAGAGGGCTCCACGTTGGATTGAGTTTGGAGAAGAGTTAGTGGAAGAAAATTAGGGAGAGGGGCTTTGGAAGTTTCGGCCAGCAGCAGGGAATGAGTTAAACTCTTTCCTAGAGAAGTCAGGGCCCATCAATTGAAGCCCATTAAGGTGTGGCCGGCGGTTTCAAGAGAGAGGGAGAGGGAATAAATGCTAATCCTGAAATTAAATTCAGAATTTGAGAGGTTTTGGGGGGAAATCAATTTGAAATTTGATTTCAAATTGAGCTGTAATCAATGCATTAATTGGGAATTGAATGGGGCTCCAACCAAGGGGAGGCCGGCGGCATGTGGAGAGAGGGGAAGAGTGTGGGAGCCATTGATGGGTTTACAAATCAGCACATGAGAGTTAGGAAAGCTTATGATGAAGTCCATTTGAATTTGAATTTCGTCATAATGCAAATTTAAGAACTTTCCTTATTAGGAATTTCCAAATATGGAAAGTTTTTGAATTTCAAATTTTGAAATTCAAAAATCGGTAGCTTCTTTATTTATTGCTAGGCCACAATCAAGGAGCCATTATGATGATTGACATCTTCATCATGGCTTGGGGCAAGGTGGTGGCCGGCGGCCAAAGGAGGAAGAGGGGGCTTGCCGTTGGGTTGGGGTTTTCTTGATGGAGCTTGGGTTGTAGCGGAGGAAGCTAGTGGATAAAATGGTGGATGATTGGATCTCGGGTAGGGCTTGGTGTGGGGAGGAGGAAAACAAGAGTTTGAGATGAAAACAATAGGATAAAATAAACCACGAGTCGAGGACGCTTCCAACGACTGGCGGGTACTGCTTTTGCCCTCACCTTGGGCTTTTCCTAGAACTTACACAGAGATCTAGGAGAGTTGAACTCACTAAGAGATCAAGAAAATATGAACTCACAAAGAGAACACAAAGAGAAGAATTTCATTTTCAATAATCATCATCCTTCAATACAAAAAAGCTAGCCTATAAATAGGCCTCATGAAAAGAAAAATAACAAAGACTAAAATCGTGGTTTAAAATTGCGCAATATGAGGCTTGCCTTGAGGCCCGCCTTTGCGCAATTCCAGTAAAAAACGCCTCGATGCTTACGCCTTGAGTTTTTTTATAAGGCTTACGCCTCAACTTGGTTGAGGCCCGCCTCGCCTCACTGGCATGAGGCTTTCGCCTCACATTATATATATTAAAACTTACATAAATCTTGAAGTAAATGTCCGACATTGGACTCAATAGGAGAGGAGGAAGGGGAGAGAGCAGTTCATCATAATGATGATTCAAATGAAGAACCCCTTAGTGATGACAGTGCTGATGACTTATAAGTTCCTATGTGATATGTCATTGCTATTTATTTTTGGAAATTGAAATTATATTTTAATGAAAAGAATACTGGGATTTGGGAAAGATAGAATTTTGAGTTGAACTATATTTTATGTTATCTTATTATTGGGATATTTTGATTTCACTTCATATCTTATGCTTTTTTATGTTTAATATTATTCACTCATTAGTATATAAAAATTTATCATTTTATGTTTACGCAATCTTTTGTTTTTGAGGCTTACGCCTCGCCTCACGAATGAAAAACGCCTCTATACCCGAATACGCAATTTTAAACATTGACTAAAATGCCCTTCGGGCTACAACACTACATGACCACCCATAAGGGTATAAATGGAAAAACAACAATATAAAATAAACTAGTACAAAAACATATAAATAAATAACTCAAGATCGTAGCCGTTGATCTCCGATGTCCTCATCAATTAGATACATCAATAACGTATCTAATTGACAACTAGCCTTAATCAAAACTTCTCTCTCGTTATCGGGAGGAGTAATTAACTATAGGGGCTTGCGCCTATAGGAAACCAGAACTCAGATTATAAAGTCCTCGCAAAATGACAGCGAAATCTCTTGGTATTGTTTTATCTATAAGCCCATCTCTGCCTTCCCAAAATTTACCCCGGAACTTAAATCTGTTAAAACTACCCCCGAAGAAAAGCAGCGGGGGAGGTCGAGGCCGAATTTTCGGAGCTCACATTTAGGAAGGATTTTTTATGGAGTTAGGAGGGAAATTTGAATGTAGGAGCTATTTAGGGTTTTCCTTTTGATTTGTATGCATTAAATAGTTTGTTTTCCTAAGATCAGGGAATCTTGAATTTGGCTGAAATTTAAGATCTCTTAGTTTATTTAGGCTCTAGCGGCGTCTAGAGATTTGGGAGAGAAAGATCCTCCTCTTGGTTAGAGGATCAATTGTATCTTGGTATTTTTCTATTTCCATTTCATCAATTAATACAAATTATTTACTGTTTTTATGATTTTGTGTGGATTTTTGTGGAGAATTCTCAGTGTTTTTCGAAGTTTGGTAGGAAATACTTGAGATCTACAAGTGTTTCCTATCAGCATTCTCACAAAAAGAGTGTTGGAATAAAAAGAGTATTGGAATGATATTAATATGTTGGATCGTTATTGCTTAGTTGAATAGGAGCTTAGAATTAGCATGTCCACGTTTTAAAGTTGGTTTCTAACGTTTTGAAGCTGGTTTCTAACATAAATGATTGCCAGGCTAAGCAAATTTAAGATGTCCTACTTCAAGTGATAATATATGCTTTGGCTATGTGCGGCCACAATAATACACCCTCTCAAGTTGTTCAAATGATCACTTGTGGATTCACAAAGATTTTAGAAGGTTGGTGAGATAACTATTTAAATGATATAGAATGAGTAGAGCTTTTAAGAAACCATTAAATAGGAGTCTTAAAGAACTAATTTTCATAGAAGAACAAAATAATGATGTAAAAATTGATTGAAAAAATTTTAGCTGAATTAATTTTAAAGTTGTATAAAGGTAAAGTTTTAGATACATAAGCGGTACTTTTTAAAATTGGTAGTCATAAGAGATATTTAAGATTTGAATTTCTCTTGGCATTCTCACCAAAAGAGTGTTGACGATATTAATATATTGGATCATTATTGCTTAGTTGAATAGGAACTTAGAATTAGCATGTCCACATTTTGGAGCTTGTTTCTAGCTTTTCTACAGGTACATGGAGTACTCAAAACAACGACGCTCATGTTATTTTAGTTTCCGTTCTTCTAATAAAAGTTGAATGCCTAATGGTTTCCCTACAGATTGAGGCCTTCGGTTATTGTAGAAGTTTGGATTCTCTATTCATCGTTCCTGCTTTATTCCATTTTCCTTACTCGAGTTTGTCTCATGCAGGTGAAACCAAATGCTTTCTCCGATCACCAGTCACAGGCTCCTCAAAGTTCCCCTAACACCAGCATCACCACTGGCCATGCAGTCCCTCAACATCTTCCTTTACACCCTTATTCTCAAGCAACACTGCCTTTAGCGCCATTTGCTAATATGATTAGCTACCCATTCCTGCCACAGAGCTACACTTACCTACCTTCAGCAGCTTTCCCTCAAGCGTACACAACCAACGATCCCTTTCACCAGTCTCCAGCTGCAGCGCACAACACTGCCTTAAAATATACACTCCCTCAAAATAAAAGTAGCATTTCGGTGGCTAGCTTACCGCAGCCTGCAGCAGTAGCTTCTGGGTATGGAAGCTTCAGTGGCTCAACTAATATCCCTGTAAATTTTTCCTTAAATCCTTCCAGCACTCCCACAAGTACAACATTAGGATTCAGTGAAGCTTTGAGCTCTCAATACAAAGAAGTAGCACATTACCTCTCCCTTCAGCAGGTAAAAATTCATTTACACTGCACTTTAAATCTGTTGATTTTTTTATTTTTTATTTTTTATTTCATAACCAACATTGCCTCTGCTAGAATGAGAGTTCTCCCATGTGGGTCCATGGAGGCATTTCCAGAACTGTGTCACCTCTTCCTCCCAATACTTTCTATGGCTTCCAAGGGCAGAATCAGCATAGCAGCTTCCGGCAGGCTCAGCAGCCCTCACACTATGGGCAGATGGGATACCTTAATTTCTTCCAGAACCAGCTAGGCGGACAGTCTCAAGAACAGCAACTGAATTCTAACGAGGTAAACCTGAATGGTTCTCAGGGGAATCCCTCTCAGCAATCTCACCAGCTCTGGCAACATGGCTACTAATGCAGATTAACTTATTTTAAGCATATCAGCTGCACTTTTTCTCGAGCATGCTGGCCCGGTTGAGTGTTTCATTTTGATCTACTGTATATAAAATGACGGAACCTTGAATGCTGCTATTCTCCATCTTGAAATCGATGTATTCTAGACAATGAGTGTTTTTTTTTTTTTTTAAATCTTTGTCGCAGGCGTGCCTTGTGGAACTAATTTAACCTTGCTTTTCCTTTTTGTTTTTTGAAGTTAAACATCGAAGGGTTCTTGTTCCTGTGATGGATAGTTTAAATTAATCCAAAAGTTTCTGATTTCTGTTTTCTTGAGGATACTTGGAAAGTAATCCCATCCAATGCTTCTGAGGTTTTCTTTGAGACGACTTTTTTATTATTTTTTAAAGCAATTTTTAATACTAAAATTAATTCTTTTATTAAAAAATTACTGTAAGAAACAATAAGAAAGCCATTCCAAACGAAGCTCGAGTTTGTGCCTTCACAGTTGATGTTACAATCTTGCATTTTGATTTGCTTTATGAATTACATTCTGCCTGTCATTTGAAATTCTCTTACAGATATTTCAATGAGTATGTGCTCTGATTTTAATTTCAAAGTTTTGAGAGAAAATTAGAGCATTTCATACATTACTTCCAGCAGGAACGGGTAAGCATAATCATTGTCATTATAGTAGTTCGAATTCTTTTCACTAGGATTCTCCTATTTATTTTCAGTAGGTGCACTACAAGTTCGAGCACATTTTTGATACAATTTAGAGATACATTTGTGTGTAATTGATATGATTTAGAGATATTACAGGGACTCTTCTTGCTTTGCTTGGGCTTTGTTCGTGACAGCTTTCTTAAAAGTAACTTTTTAGTAAAAAAATTAATTTTTGTACTACAAAGTTGCTTTAAGAAGCAGTAAGAAAGCTTTGGGACTACTTTCTTACTGCTTCTTAAAGCAGCTTTTTAGTACAAAAAAATTTTGAGCTTGAATTTTTTATATTAAAAAGTTATTTTATAAAGCAGTAAGAAAGTCGTTCCAAACAAAACATTAGTCTTTCCGTTGATCATATGATCACAATTCAATCTTATATGATGCATATTTATCTAAAGAGCATAAATATCAAATTATAGTATATTTGTGGGCTTAATAATGATGCTTAGGCTTTAATTTCGTCATCATTGTCACATCATGGAATTATTTCAATTATTTGGAGCTAATTTTATGATTTTTTTTTGTTTGTTAAACTTGTTCTTTAGAAAGCATATTGAACAAACGCTAATGATGTTATTTAAGATCTACACTTTCAAAATTTCTAACACTTATTTTATGTTATTGTGTAATGGTTGCCTTTTTACCTTCACCCTTCATTCCAAATCACCTATGTATATTTTTAATTATCTCAAAAATTCATTCTTATTATTCCTACTTGCCTTAATATAGTTTATTTTTTATTTTGTGCACACATCTATTTTAATATTTTGATTTTATCTTCACACAATTTAGCTATCAACAATCATTTTACTACCCTACCCAACATAGATTAATATAATTTTATTAACCTAATTATAATTTTATAGTCTACTTATAAATCTTCATGATATCATCTCATCTTATAATATATCTAGAACACTTCTCTATCTGAACTACCTACTTTAAACTCTAAAAAAATTATCTTCACCTAAATATTCAAATTTTTATATAAATTTAAGTATACATCACAATTCATTTTTTATGAAGTGTTAATACTTTTATGCTAGTGAGAAGTTTTTTCAAGAAGAATTCTTAAGGTATTTAATTTTAGAAAATATTGATTAGCAATGTTCATTAAACCCAATGGCTCAAGAGAAGTTAGAAACTATGTCACATCAAATATTTTTATTTAAATTTTTAAGTAGCAGTGAGGCTGATATCTTACCCAAATAAGAAAAATGTTTAACTTAAGCGTTTTTGGCATTAAAAAATGATGGTTAGATAATCTGTCATTGAATGAGTAAAAATAATAGATAAATCCTGCATCTTTAAATGAGTAATATTTTGCTGCTTTTCAAATATTCTGTTGTAAAAATATTGTGTTAGCTCGGATTAATGCTTTGTTTGGAACAACTTTTTCGATACATTATTTTCCAGACAATAATTATAATTATATTTGGCTACTATTTTTTCACTATTTTTCAGAAATTTATGTAATGAAAAAACTGTTTTTAAAATAATTTCACAAAATTTTATGAAATATTATACTCATCTCAAAATGATGTATAAATATAGTGATAAATTTTTCAAAATGGGATAGATTACAAGGACTATTTGTAGGAGATCAATTTTGACATGTAATTTATAAAAAGAGATTTGATGAGGACTTAAAAAATTGATCATTTATTAAGATAAGAGAACCAAGATGTTATCGCTTTGAACAATTTCATAAGAAAAATGGAAAACCCTAATATTTTTTGTAGTTTATTGTTTGTGTTATGGAGAGTTAAAGGTCAAGTTCAAGACATAGTCATTATAAACTTATTATCATAACAGTGATGTGCGCAATTGCACGATATTGACCCTCAGTTGATGACTGAGCAATAATTTGTTGTTTCTTTGAACTCCATGATATGTCATTGTGTCTAACGAAGATAATGCGAGAATTGATGTTTTTACTATGCATAATGTTAGCAGCTCAATAGATATTTTAGGATCCATGAAGAGACAAAGGTGAGTGACAATGAAAAAAATAAGACATGACGTATGGTAGCTCAGCGATAGCATATCATGAGTTTGGAGCACTCCAATGTTCAATGTGCTAATCCTATAAGCCCGTGTGAGCCATGTGTGGCTTACTATTAACTTGATGAATATGAATAAAGTATGATGTCTTTTAATATGGTTTGTTAGTGCTCCTAAAGGTTGCTTGAAGATTAGGAACCAAGTTAGGGATGATTGATGGCATTATGTGCCAAACAAATTTGTAACTTTGTTTACTTGGAGATAAACTGAATAAAATATGCTAAAATACATTTTTATATAATATTATTTTTAATAATATGCATATAATGTAAAATGATAATATTATTTTATAGTACCAATATATGTAGTGATTAGGCTATCAAACTTTAACTTTATTGAGAACTATAAAGCACGTTTCCGTGAATTACAAGCACATGTTAAAGATATTGTACTATTTAGATCATATTGTATGATGTAATATATATATCTAGCGAATAAAGGCAACTGAAAAATCCGTCGTGCCACTTAATGTTGTAGAATTTTCACTTGTGTTTCTATCGGAAATTTTGTCAATTAGAGCCCTATTTTTCTGTTACGGCCTACCTCGCCCATTTGTCATGAAAAATGAATCTCTCTTATCTCCTAGTTTTATCATCGCTTGGGGCTCGTTTAACATCATTTTTTAAACAAGTTAATTTATTTGATAATATAAAGATAAATCTTCTTTTTTATTATTTTTTTATCAATTAATTTTTTTTGTTTGATTTTATACATAATTGACATAAAATTTGATGATTGATGTTGTTTATTTTCAAAAAATTTCTTTAGATTTGAGTTTTATGATATGTAACCCAGTTCATGTGTCATTGTGCCGGTAATTCCTAAGTTATAGGCTTGGTATATAATTGATCTCAATAAGTTTCAAATAAAAATTCATTCCACATTAGCTTATATAGTTAGATTTGTGAAATTAGCCTAAATGATTAGTTAGTTGGAGAAAATTTGGTTAAGTAAACATATCTGCTTGTCCAAGTATTTCCGTATTAAATTTGAAAAACTTGATTGAATTCAATAGGATTAGTTCTAAATAAGAAAATATGTTTGTTTATATGTAATTTGAGCTAATATTCACCCACCCAATTTTGGTGCTTACACTTGTTAGATCATATTTCACATAGATATCTTAAGCCAAAGGTTGTGGATGTATAATCGATTATTTTCTAGACAAAAGGCCTTAACAGATGCATTCGTCAAGGAAGTCAAAATTTTCTTTCACGCTACCTGCAAATTACCTTCATTTTTATCTGAAGGGAGGTTCAAGTGTCTAATGTGCATGTGACTAGGTTATGTAGGTGTGTGTGATAGGCAAATGTATTTGAAATATGCTTAAATTTTCTTTTATATAAAAGCCCACTAAATAACACAAGTGCATGTGTCGACCAAGTAATAAAAAATGATATGAAAGAATGTCTATCTCATGAGGAAGTGCTATACTATAATACAAATGTTCTAATATTATCTACTCTAGCTATAATGTTTATCCTACTAATCAAAAATCAAGTATTGGATTATGCCTCTACTAAAAATTGCAAGAGAATATATAACATACCAATTGATAAAATATTTTAGACTAATGATCATGAAGTTCAAAAGCATTCCTAAATAGACTTATAAGTTGGTTGTGAATTAGAGCATATACATCCTTAGAGCTCCATGGAGACTGTAAGGAAGTTAAAAAGGTTTATAGCCCTCGTATAGTTATTATTTCTCTATAGACTCTAGAACACTAAACATCCTATATCTATATATGCAAGAGTTCCATTTCAATACTTCTAAGTGTTCCAATATTCCTCCATCGTGATAATATATGACACCATATTTTAAATCTACATATGACCATTGCATAAATTAAATTAAGAACGGGAGATATTGAAAATATCAATCAATTAATTAAAGCAAAATAGTCTACAATAGTACTAACAAATGATTCATACCATTAGCCCAAAACTAGGAATTGGTCAGCTATAGAATTAAAATAGAACAACACAAAATTCATTGATTACATAAAAGAGAAAGTATAAGATTCAAAGTGAAAATAAATATCACCTAGATATTACAAGTTCACTCTCCACACTCCTTCCTTACTCCAAAAATCTGCTTGCTCACAACAAGATAGGCTAGTGATCTCCAAATGATGTATTTTTCTCTTCCTTGGCCTCTCTTAGACTTTACTTTAAGGTGGCACTTCACTTAAGCTATTAGAACTCACTGTAATGACTAAACCCATCTAAAATGATAGGACCCACTATTGAAATGAATTAAAAAATTATTTATACTACTAAATAAATAAACTCACACACAACAATGTTATAAAACTAACTAGCGCATCAGTGCTACTAAGTGGGCTCTGTCGCGGTACTGAACTAACTCAGCATGGCTATTTTGGCAGAATCGATGCCTCTTTTGGCTAAAGCGATGTGACATCTTATTTTGGAAACTGCTCCACCATAGTGCTAAAAAAGTTGAGAACTACGACACTTGAATGTGTAATCCGGTGTGTGGCATTGTTAAGTTTGATTCTCTGACACTCAAATTTTTGAGACTATGGTACA